CTGAGGGCTACACTAAGGTCCAGCGCAAGTCAAATGACTAGAGTAATAATGCAACACTAGCCTAGTAGGGCAAGGTGAAAAACAGCTAGATATCATAACAGGTCCCCCTAATTGAACACAGTGGTAGCATACATTTTAAAAGTGATGCGGTCAAAAGGGAATTTAAAAGAAATGTACAGCAAAAGCGTAAAATAATAGTGCCTTTGTGCAGGCAGGACAAAAAAAAAGAAAAGACAATGCAAAAAAATTTATCGACCACCTTTATTTACCGACAGAGGTCTCCAATAGCAGGGCTAGAATTCACACATTTGTAGAGAACTTCTGTTGTTCCACACAATGGACAACTGTATTTCTTTCAGAGCAATTATGCAGTGGTGCCACTGTGGAAGCTACAGGGCAAGTCAACAGTGGAGGAAAATATCAGCACAGAACAGACTGCAGAAACAAACTGAAGCTGGGCTGAGTTTACATCTGTAAAAGGATACCAGAGTGGAGTGTGTAAACAGTTGGAGAGGGTCAAATCTCAACTGTGTAAAAACACTTCCTCCCCTTATCGCTCTAAAGTAAAAAGAAAGGCATTAATTGACTCGCACATGGCCAGTGATCAAAGATGAAATGGGCAAGGAGGAAGATGCATTAGACCAAGGATTGCACTTCAAATAACAAGTAACGAGAAAATGTGAAATATCTTTGAGCTAATAAATTCACCTGACCAAAGTTTCATGATCAGCGCAAATTTAAGAGTCATCACCAGCGTGCTCCTCCAAAATGACCTAATGTTACTCCTTCAAAACATCTTCAGTACAAAAAGAACCTTAAATTCAGATTTAGGCGCCATTTCATCAATGCATTCAAAGATAGTAGCACCTTTTGACCAAAGATCAAGGTGCATCCTATTTGCACCATGTGAAATACAGTCTCTGAAAGAATCTATGAAAATAGTTACGATTTACAGGCTGAAGATCATACAAGAATAGACCTCCTGTACAAAATATAAAACAATATCCCAGTGGTAAAAAAAAAAATCCATAAATCTCAATGACTGAAGCTGTAACGTCATCTGAAATACCTGGTGTGTCAGAGCTTATGAGCTTGGGTTGGAGCTCCACAGTGCCTAGTTTAAAGCGAGAAAGCAATGGCACACACCACACTAAAGATACTCTTTCAAAATGCATATTTTCAAGCAGCAATTACAAAAATTTATCAATGGACAATGCATAACCTCTGAAAAAAATACTGTATGAAAACATCCCTGCTACTTTGTTTCCAAGTACAAAACCTCTACCAATAAGTTGCTCCAGAGTAGCAAGAAGTCCTTTTATTTTTTTGTTTTTTTTGTTAATTTCTGTTTTTTTTTTTCCATCTTCGTTTTGTTTTTATTGGGTAAAACTCAGTCCTCACATTGAGTGTCATAGTAAATGACAGTCTTCTCCATTGGTTCACTCTGCTGAAGGATCCAGGAACATGCAAGCCTCGTAGTGGAGGTGCTCAGGAGGCTCCTGTAGGCCTGAGGATTAGCAACCATGGCTTAAGCCAGGGCTGGGAAGGCCTCTGGGTCGTCCACGTTTGGCACAGACGTAGATGACTGTTAGAAAAGGTAAACAAGTAAAAAGATGACTGATTAATGGAAATGGTCCACTGCAATAATAAGAAATAAATTGACTGCCATCAGTCGTAAAATGATTTAACAGCAGAGGGCAATCTGTTCTTTAAATGAAGGGCTGTACCACTTCTATAAAAAGGACGTTCTATATGACAAAAAGAGCAAATATCAGAATCACTGGTAATTTAAACATTTCGTGTTGTGCATCCCAACTTCCTGCGCATAAACCTGGTTGTTGCTGATATAACAGCAACTAAGCTGTGCTTAATGCCCCATACCTTGTCAGACCTTCCACCACGCATTGGCCTGGTGGCTTCGCCGCGGCCACGACCACCTCCACCTCCACCTCCACGGCCACCACGTGGTCCACCACGTCCACGGCCCGGACGGCCCAGGTCTCCAAAGTTGATCTCCAGCTGTGACGTAATGTCATTGGCTGGCTTCCTGCAATGGTGCTCATCATCTCCCTAAATTACAAAAACAAGGGTTAAAAATTAAGTTTTATTGTTTTGGTATATCTGCAACATAAATGTTCTGCTAGCATGCATGTCTGGATTTCATATACTCAGAGTACATGCAACTGTAGAAATTTTACCTTCGGCTCATCAACCTCAGGTTCAATCAGATCACCCTTCTTATCCTGCAGTGGACAGGTACAAAGACACAAGCCAACATTAACACACTGATCAAAATAATGTGCTTCCACCAACAAATTCAAATCTCTTAATAAGATAATACAGTTAATATAAAAACATAATGTGAAACCCAGTTTTAGTGACATGTTCTGCACATTGACTGAAAATCCTATGATGGAGTACTGCCTTAGAAAGTGAATACTGGCTAATACAATTTTGCACAACACTCCGATTCACTTTTTCTTTTAA